CACTGCTGTGGTGCCAACCTACCCCGTGGGCTGGGGAGAGATCCGGGTTGGTTGGTGTTCCCCGGTACTACACATACACTAGTGAGAGGATGAGATCGATGAGTACTAGCAAGAAAAATGAGATAGATGAGAGAAGAATATAGCTTTATAAAAACAAAAAAAAAGAGCACGCTGATTCTATTCTACCTCCCTGCGCGTTCGAGTCAAAAACAGACTATTACTTATATATATATGAAGACGGGTGGGCGAGGACAGGAGATATATATACGAAGACGGGTGGGCGAGGACAGGAGATTTGAATGTGGCACCTAAACGTGGTATTTTCAGAAATGAAGCCCAAACTCTGACTCAGCCCCAAATGGCAAGCAGGTCAGTCCTCTGTGGTTGCTGTCAATGTTTTTTGACTCCGTCAGTGGTCTGGCTACTGGGTAGAGGGGTGCAAGTCGAGCTGGGCTGCTCAAAGTGTCAGGGGTCTGGCTACTGGGTAGAGGGGTGCAAGTCGAGCTGGACTGCCCAAGGTGTCAGCGGTCTGGCTACTGGGTAGAGGGGTGCAAGTCGAGCTGGGCTGCTCAAGGTGTCAGTGGTCTGGCTACTGGGTAGAGTTGTGCAAGTCGAGCTGTGCTGCTCAGCGTGTCGGTGGCCATTTGAAGGCACCAGACATCTGTGGTGGGAATGCCCTGCATCCAAACGCGTGTGGAAATGGTGGGAACATCACTGGAAAGAGATGGGATGTGGGGACCTGGACTAGGACGAGCATTGGGTGACAAAGCAAGACTTACAAACAGTCTTCTCGGAGGAGAGGATAGAGGAAGTTCACAGTAGTACGTAGTCGTTATTTAGGAATTTGGAAAGTTGGTATTGGAATCTCTCTGCAGGCTAATGCCTGTAAAATAAGCTGGCTCATGCTGTCAGATACGCCAGGTTGAATTGGGAGGTCCCTGGGGCCAAGTCCCACTAGCGAAGAGTAAATCGGTGTGTGGCACATTTTTCGGATTCTAAAAATGCCAATGGAGGGTTTTCTCAGTTTTTTTGTTTTCGTACACTACGACAAAAAAATACAAAGGCATGCTCACAGTAGCACTTGGGAGAATGCATCCAACTGCATTCACGTCCCAGCGGTGTACCACAGGTTCAACCCCACACAACAGACAACCTGACACCGTTTTCGGGGGCGTGTCTGGCGGGCTCTGCACACAAACGACGTCGGAAAGAGGCTGGGCGGGAAGCTTCAAAAACACCCCCTGGGTCAAAAAACCATAAAATTGAAGCTTCCCGCCCAACAAATGTGGCCAACTAAAACAGCAACAAAACATTTCTAAAACATGCTACTGGACGTGGGGCACTTTGGAAACGGCAGTTTGGGCAAAGATGAGTGGGCGGTCGATGTCCACTGCACCGTGAGTCACCCCGGGTCGCACGTCGTTGAAAGCCCAGCCTCGAAGCGTAACTCTTGGCTAGTCGGACTTGGCCCCTGGCCTCCATTGTTATGTGGAATGAATTCTAGTTGGTTTTATTTATTTTTTCTTTTTTTTTTCCTTTTAAAAAGAAAGGGCGGCGGCCTTGAGATATCATCATCAAACTGACCTGGGGCCTGGACCCACTAGCGAAGTATTCTACGACGTGTGACACAGTTTTATGGTTTTTTGGAAAATACAAAGTGATTTTTTATTTGCATGAATGGATCTTTTTCTGATTTAAAATGAATTGAAATAGGACAGAAAACTATGAAGAACAGTTGTGCACCCCAATTCATGTGTTGGTACTATCTCCTTCACGCAAGTCTTCATAGTGATGTACCGTGGCAATAAAATGTGTCCACGAACACATTCACGAGGATGAACAAGTAACGAGTATTGGGATACATTCCTCACCACGTATCTCATGATGCCTTTAGCAGGCCATCCGACAGACGCGGAAGCGTTCCTGTCAGATGCACCACAATATTCGAATTTCACAATTCAAGTTCTATTTCTCAGAGCCAAAAAAAAAAAAAAAACGAAGTCTGGAAATCAACCCCCCCCTTTTAGAGCCCATAAAATCCAGACTTCCCGCCCACGCAAAGCCACGAGCTATCATGTCCAAGTTAGTCCAACTTCGTTTGTTTTTTTTTTCGACGCATCTCATTGGACGGGAGGTGGGCATCTTTACAGTCCCCGCTCGGAAACTACCAGGCCGTCGAGATCCGATCTATTCGACGGCCGTACTGAGTCACTCGATGCCACACGTGATCGGAATCCTGAACGGGGTGGTAGAATACCTTGCTAGTGGGTCCAGGCCCCTGCCCTAGGGTTTTTTTTTTTTTTTTTTTTTTGACCATTTCTCGATTTATGCGGCGCAGGGGCCATGCTAATCTTGTTTGTATCGCTCCAATTTTAACGGATGCCCCGAAGAACGCCCTACATAATTCAAAATTGTAATATTTCACTCATCTGTGCTTCCAGTGGAGTTTGCTCGGGTGTGTGGGGCTCGCCACACCACTGTTAAAAACACGATTTTCGATAGTTTCTCTTGGCCACACAGCCTGTCGAAATTGGAGACCGTGAGAAAATTCGCAAGTTGTCAGCGAATGTTTCTCGACACCTCCTTCCGAAAGTTGTTGAATCCCCAACCTGCTACTCCGATGCTTTCAACAATCCTTGGCTGCGCTATCGACTTCGGGGTTCGCACCACACCACTGTCGGAAACATGATTTTCCAAACACAGCCTATTGAAACTGGAGACCGGAAGAAAATTCCCAAGTTGTCAGAGAATGTTTATCGACACCTCCTTTCGAAAGTTGTAGAGTCCCCAGCCTGCTACACCGATGCTATCAGCAGTGCTCGGCTGCGCGATCAACTTCTCCTCGTAATTTGGTGAGTGGGCATGAGGTTGGGATGGACTAATGCTTATCGTACCCTCAGGCGCTTTCGTCTTTTTCCATCTTGCATTCACAAGCGTGTCTATTTTATAGTGTTGTGTGGCTAAAGAGGGGCAAACTGTCGAAGGGAGGCTGTCAAATTTATTCTGACAACCGTTTATTTTTTTGCCTTTCGATAGTGGTGTGGCGAGCCCCTTCTCCTCGAAATACGATCAGCATGTCCGGGTCGTGGCGTGGGGACTAAGCCACTCTCCAAGCATCGATCCCGACATGCATCGCTTCGACCAACGAATAAAAAAGAAACTAGGCATATGTATACGCGCAATAAGGACTTGGCGAGAAAAAGTTATAGTTACACGCAAGGATCAAGAAGAGAAAAAAATAACTGAAATTGGGATTAAGGCGCGGCAAAAAAAGAGTGTGGCGATGCGCGCGCGAGCAAGAAGCAACGAGCGGTTACCGTTGTTACCAGCCATATACAGAGTGTCCAATATCGTATTTTAATTAAAGTCCTAATTCCGAATAAAAATCCGATTACCTGCGAGGTTATCTGCGCAGTTTCCTAAGATTTTAAAAAATCACAAAGTCCACCAAGCACGATGATCGCGCCAAAATTATCTGCCCCAAGTCCCCAACATAAAAACAAAAGAGCGAAGACCACGTCATCGTTTTTTTTCTTACGCTCACTAACGCACGTTCTAACCCCCGACAGTTGCGTAATTGGGGCCCAGTCTTTGTAAATACAAAAATAAAAATTGGGGACACATATATACCTCACCACTCGTATGCAGGCCTCCTAAGGGCATGAAGCTCATTTGTGATGATAATCGCATGCACCGTAGAAAAGATCGTCATAGGCAATGGTCGAAAAAAAAAATTGGGCCAAGAAGATAAGAGTGTCTGAAAGGAGGAGGGACAACAGGGGAAACGAATAGGGGAAAAGATGGGTTTCCCCTCCTCCTCATAGATTCCTTTGTGGATAAGATTTTTAATGCTGATCTGGGCTTCACTCGAGTCTTCGGAGGATGCAGAGATTAAGCGTTCCCTGTCATCCGCCCTCCGCGCCCCCCCCCCCCCCCCCCCCCCCCCCCCCCCCCCCCACTGGGGTCAGAAGGGTCAATCAGTCTCATTACTGGAGACCAATTTCCTTTCTCCCCTAGGGGAGAAAGAGGTAATGGAGGATGT